AGAATTTATATGGTGTATTTTCATGTAGGGAGATCTGAGCCTGGATGGGGAAAGAAGCATGCTGACCAGTTTGGTGGCCTGAAGAGGTTGAATTAACAGATGTAAATAAAAGCAGCAAGTAACCATATCTGGAGGATTTAATTTCAATAATGAATTCATACAGAAATTGGGATCAACAACAGCACTCTCAAGAGGTTGACATCACTGTAAATGGTTCTGCTCACAGTCCTGTGATTCCCATTCCTGTATCATCGACACCAGCTTCTGCTTTTATTTCAGATCCTCCCTCATCTGCCCCTGAAGTTTTTGCAAGCCCCATTTGCCCTCCTGCTCCTTCATCAACACCTGCTGTCACCACTTCCATTTCTGATCCTCCCTTGGCAACTCCTGAAGGTCACGTTCAACCTTCTCTTGTATTTGAGGACATTGTTGAGAGGAAATTTGGGAGTGAATCAGTTTACTGTGGTAATATGTGGCAATCTGTACTGCAAACCTGCAGTGAACTGAATCAGATCCAAACATCAAAGATGCTGAGTATTCTAGGAAAACTGAATGAAGACGTAAGCTTCCTGTTATTTATTGAACTCCTTCTTTTTGTTCATTACCTTTTGTGCATGTATGTGTCACAAACAAATAAACAAACACACTATTTCATTTATTTATTTCACAATTTAATCGAGTCTAGGATGCAAGTATTTTGTTTTGAATTTACCATTCCTGAACATTCTCTATGTTATTTCATCAACTGTCAGCTAAAGTTTTAATACCAGTTGTTTAGCTAGAAGCTTGGTAAAGGGGCTATGTCCAAGCAGTTTGGTCCTACTAACTCCAAAAGGTGGATATTGTTTGTTTAAGGGTCCACTAATGCCAAGCCAATTCCAGCTCTTTAGTGTGATGTTCAAAAAGTTTTTTTTTCAACTTGATGATTAGGGTTGGGGCATTTAATGAGGAATCCATCATGAGGGCAAACAATCATGAGAGTTAATTAACAGCCTTTGACTATTAATATTAATGTTATTTTGTTTATCAATTTGTGATCTACCTATTAATGCAAGGTGTTTTTTCCTTTCCTAGACTGAAATCCATGCAATCATAAAGCCCCAAATTGCAAGGGACATTTTAGGGTGCATGGTCAGATTGCCTTGGGAGGTGAATTTAAGTTTATCTCCTCACAGCCTGGAACATCTCCTGAAGATCTCTCTATGTCAGCTTATCAGCAGCAAGAATCAGCACAGACTTCCTGAGCAGTAAAAAGTTCAGTAAAAGTTATTAACTTGGAACGATTA